TTTTAATTGTGGTATAATATCTATGCAATAAAGAGGAGAGCATTCAGCGAGTCTAACAATTGTAAGACATGTATGTTAAGAGTTACATTTTGGACTGAAAACTAAAAAATAAATATTAAAAAAAAAATTCTCTCTCTCACACTCTCTTAAAAAAAAAAAGAGTTATATTTTGGAGAGTGATTATAATGGTGGGACTGTGGAGTCAGGAGGCATGGCTCAGTGGAAAGCTAGAAATGAATGGGACACAGTATCCCGAGTCCTGTTCTTGACTCTTCCAACCATCAGGTGCCCCTTCTCAACTTTCTACTTGCTCAGCCAAAATATAAAGATGTTGGATCAAATGGTTTCTGGAAGCCCTCTTGTCTTATTCTCTGTCCCTAAACGGAATATTTATGCTGGTGAATAGACAAGCAGTAACCTTGCTGTCCTTCATCATGTGCTGGTTCTTGTTTAGACCAGGATTCAGCAACCTATGGCCCAGCCCACCACCAAATACAATTCCCTTGTTTTTGTTTGGCCCTTGAACTAAGAATAGTTTTTACATTTCAAATAGTTGGAAAACATCAAACAATCCAGAAAATTAAACAATATTAAATGTCAGTGGTCATAAATAAAGTTTTATTGGCACATAACCATGCTCATTCATTTACAAATCATCTATGGTTGCTCTCACACCACAATAGCCTCAGAGCCAAAAATGTTTACCACCCTGGATAGTAAATCCCAGGTTTAGGTGATTTAGATAATGGGCTTTGGGCAAGTAGATCTCTCCCTTGCCATGTTTAAGTGCTGATGAAGACCCTAGACTTGGGCAGTCTACACAGGAGTAAATCAACATTTGAGGGTATAAAGTTTCACTCTGTGGCAATGAAAAGCAAGATAAAGCACAATCATAAAGGGCTCCTTTCGCTCTTGCTAACAGAACAGGAAGAAAAATATTAATGCCCCAAGAAAGACTAGGGAAAGCAAGCACCTTAGCACAGTTAATGTCATTAGGAACTGACTCGCCCCTTCTTTCAAACAATCTGGCAGAATGACCAGTCATAAAAGTGTTCATACCTTTCAACCTAATAATCTAACTCCTGGAAATCTAGCTTAAGGAAACATTCAAAGGAACAAAAACACCATGTTGAGATGTTTAAATCAGTGTTTTTCTAATAAAATGCTGGAACCAATCTGAAATGTTTATCAACAGGAAATGAATCAGCAAGTTAGGAGTCCTTAACTCAATTAAATACTATATGCCCAGAGCTAAGCACACATCTGAAATCCCAGCTACTCAGGAGGCTTATGCAGGAGGACCACTTGGGCCCCATGTATTGCAGGCCAGCCTGGGCAACATAGCAAGCCTCCATCACATACAAAAAAAGAGGACTTGCTATGTGGCTCAGTGGTACAGCACTTGCCTAGTATGTGCAAGGCCCTTGATTCGATTCCCAATACAAGAAAATAGTATATGCCCAAATAATAGACATGAACTCCATCATATGAAAAAGATATGCTACAATAAGACTATGTAAAAACTAAACATAATATAAAGATCATGGATATACCAATTTAGGTAAAAGGTCATACATATAATTTAGAAAATTACCTGATTCCTTTTTGTTTGTTTGTTTTCAGTACCGGGGGTTGAACCCAGAACCTAGCACATGCTAAGCAAGTACCCCCAACCCTTCTCTTAAATTTCATTTTGAGACAGGGTCTCACTAAGTTCTCCAGACTGGTCTTGAACTTGCAACCCTCCTGCCTCAGCCTCCTGAGTAGCTGGGATTACAGATGTTCACCACCATACACAGCTAAAATACCTAATTTCTAAAGGCCCTTAAGCCAGCTTTGACAATTCCACACACACACTGTCATTAATCTTTTTATAAGAAAAAGGCTTTGTAAACAAAGACAAAAACACACAAATGGAACACAGAACAGGAGTGAGCTTCCAGGAACACATTTCTTATAAACAAAGCAAATGATAACTACCAGTACTTTTGTTCAAATCAATTTATACTTATCATCTCCACCTCAGAAAAAGTGACTTCATGTTTTCATAACCCTTAAGGGACTAACAGATGACTGAACAAAGTAGGAATTACTCCTGAACATAAAAATAGAATCACTCTGGTAATCCACCCTTTATGTCCAGTAACCTCTTCAGACTCTGGTTCTACCTTAAGACAGTCTCTTCTACTAAACAACTCTTTTCTTTCCTGTTTTTTTTTCCCACTTAATCCACAACATTGTAAGTACTGGCCTATAAATAAAAAATTTTAATATCTATCTTATTTACTTATTTTTATGTGGTGCTGAGGATCAAACCCAGTGCCTCAGACATGCTAGGCAAGTGCTCTATCACTCAGCCACAACCCCAGCCCCCCATAAACCAAATTTAAATTTTTAAAAAAGCCTCAAAATGCTTTCTATCAAAACTGTTCTACATTTCTACAAGCAATGTAGGCAAATGTATTTTGCTCATACCATCCTTGTAAAAATGTGCTTACTGGAAAAAAATGCCTACCCAAGGAAATGTGCCAAATTGGGAGTAGGGGAGGTCCTACAAGAGAAATGTGTCAGCTTATAAAAAAATAATAAGATGCCATAAACGAAATATGGCAACTGGAGGCAGGGGAAGCCCATAAAATACCATGGTGCTATTTGTTTTTAATATGTCTATGATACTTAATAGAGCTATGCACAGTGTTCATATTCTTATCCCCAACATAATCTTTTCTGGAGACCCATGCAAGCCAGTCTCACACAGGTGGGAAGGCAAAATTTTATGCTTTTTGAGGACCATAGGTTCACATATCACTTGCCTTTTGCAAACTAAGAAGCACAATCTAAATTTAAGGCAACAAAATTCAACAAATTATTGCCTGAAAACAACCCAAATGTCTATAAGCTGATGAATGAATAAACAAAATGTATCCATAGAATGGAATATTATTCAGCCATTAAAAGGAATGATGCATGCTATACTGTGGATGTATCATGAATACATTGTAATTGAAAGAGCCAGATACAAAAGAAGATCTAGCATATGGTTCCATTTATAGGAAATATCCAGAATGGGCAAATCTATAGACAGAAAGTGGATCAGTGGCTTCCAGAGGCTGATAGAGTAGGGGTGGTGATAACGAGGGAGTTCAGGTTGTCTAGTGGAGGTGATGAAACTATTCTAAAATTGACAGTGGTAATGGCTGCAATAAAATAAGAATACAATAAAATCCAGTGAATTGTACACTACTAACAGATGAATTGATGGGATGTGAATTATATCTCAATAAAGCTGTTTTTTAAAAATGTTTTAAACAAGCTTTGGTGCTGTATTTAAGATTCGCAAAAATCGTCAACATTATTTTCATGTCTACTGTAAAGAAAAACGAATCAGCCTTATTTTCATTATCTTTAAATACATTGAGTACACTGCTCTTTTTAAAAAGCCTAGTACAATTATCACTGAATCTTTTTATAGTGAATATAATTTTAGAACATTAATTTTTTTTTCACTTACCCTTTTTTGTCTTTTACTTAGGCAACTATTTGAACAAAGTTCCAAAGTATCTGAAAACATCTGAAAGCCAAAGCATCGCTAATACCCACAAAGAGGAAGCATCTTATGTTTATAAAGAAAAATGCTAGTCACTTAAAGAACAATGCTTCTTAGCCAAAGAAAGAAATGTATTCATTTCAAAACTTCTTCAATTTCATTCTTGCTAGAAAGAACTATATTCCTTAGAACTATTATATTCATTTTTAAAGCAGAAGCTCATATTTCTGGTCTTACTCATCCTATTAGCTAAGAAGGCATAGGGTATTTTCTTTTTGTTTGGTTGGTTTTGTGGGGCTGGGGATCCAAAGCAGGGCCTTTCACATGCTAGGCAAGCATTCTACCACGGAGCACCAGGCCCCTAAGGTATTCTTATAACTTCACAGGAATGACTCTAGATGTCCGAGATCCTTGGGCAAACTCTCCTCCCCCCTTGCTGGGGATAGTGAGGGAACAAAGAAATAGCAAACTTTCTTCTCTGGGATACTGAGAGAACAGTGGAACATACATTTAAAATTTTTAAAAAGGGGCTGAGGATGTGGCTCAGTGGTAGAGCTCCTCCTGATTTCAAATCCCAGTGCTACAAAACAAATAAACAGAACTTTTTGCCAATCATCCCAGAATCCCCTGTGTGGCTGTCCTAATCAATGTTTCCTCCCCCACTGCCTGCCCCACAAAAGGGCCCTCTACAGCCATCACTTCCTTATTTTGTATGGTGTGAGGGAATGGAACCCAAGGCCTTGGGCATAATAGGCAAGCACTCTCTGTACCACTGAGCCATACCCTCAGTCCAGAAGAAAAATACTTCTGAGACATATACTTCTGAGCCTTCCTCCTTAGGAAGTTCATTAATGAGGCACCCAAGGCCAGTCAGACTGCAACAAAGAGCCAGTTTCAATGTAGAGAGAACTGTGGATTCAAAAGAATCGAGTTTGAATCAGAGGGCTCTCCCCCAGTCCAAGTTCATCTCCAAGCACACTGGTAAACTCACAAAACAGCTTGCTGAACAAAGTGTCTTGCAGTTCAAATGAGAAGGAGCATTTATGCTGTGTTCTACCAAGTCCTGCCTGGCCCCAAGCGAACCTTTCCAGGGAGAAGAATGCCCAAAGTAGAGGGGCCAGCAAGAGAAAAGGGACAGGGCTGGGATTGTGGCTCAGGGGGTAGAGCGCTCGCCTAGCACGAGCGGGACCCGGGTTCGATTCTCAGCACCACATAAAAAATTAAAAAGGCATTGTGGTGTGTCCATCAAAAAAAAAAAAAAAAAAAGATATTCTCTCTCTCTCAAAAAAGAAAAAAGGAAAAAAAAAAGAGAAAAGGGACAAGCAAGAGATAGAGTCGAAAGTCCTGAAGCTGCTAGAAGGGATGAGGCTGAGCCTCCAAAATGGGCTGGGTTCCTGTCATGGCCACGTGAACAGCCAGAAGTCTTGTAAAATAAACCATCTGGGAAACTTACTCAATATTGAATTTTCCGTTTTGAAAACAGTTCTTCTTAGTCCCAGTCTCATCGTTCCTCCCAAATTGCCAGGGTTGTGTTCGGGCATGTCAATCACCTTAGGAAATAAAACAGATTCAGTTTTACCATTTTGTAAAATTATCATTTCCCAAATTTCAAAATGTACTTTTAGAGAAATGGTCATTGGGTCAGCATGTTCCCCAACGTATAATATCTGATCAGTTCCTTGATGTTCCTGTCCAAAAGCAGCCATCCTTCATACCCACCTCACACTGTGCTTCCATTTCATCTCTACTTCTCATCTTTCATTCAAATCACTTGTTAAAAAATTATCAGGAGCATCCTTATGACCCTTTTCCTATCATTTCTCAATCTGTCAGTTCCAAGCAATGTTCACTTTTCAAGTTCTGGGCTTCTGAGGCCTTCTATTTTGGTATTCATGTCTCTCCCAGGATAAACTTCTTGCCACCCATTGCAAGACATTCTCTAAAGATTTTCCATAAGTAAATCTGTCAGTCCTTGTAGAAAGGTAAATCAGAAGTATCTTATCTATAGAAAACCATTAGAAGAATTCCTTAAAAAACAAAAAGTAATATCCATTCTAGAACATTCTGTGGATCAGGAACCTAAGTAGCACCCTTGATCTCTCCCTCTTCCTCCTATCCAATCTGTCAAATCCTGTTGATTTACCACCTGCAGACCCTCTTGTCCAATTAAGGAGCAGTAGCCTAATGAGGGCCCTCTCTCTCTGGCCTCACAGAACCAAGTTCTTCCCTGTCCCTGCCCTTCTCAGTCTGTCTGGTGGGTGTTTTGAGTGTGAGACTGGGGTGGCTTTGTTTTTTCTCACCATTGCATTCCTAGTCCCTGGCATGTGTGGGATCTAGCACATGGTATATGCTGAATGAATGAATGAACTCAAAAGAAACAATTTCAAATTCATCTTTATGGTTATACCACAGAAATTCAGAAACAAGTGACTTTTAAGTTTTTCACCTCTTCTTGTTAATCTGGTAATTCAGGTGTTTTCCGGGTTCACTATGATCTCATGGTTTTGGTTCATCTCTTTTTTTTTTAAGTTGTTATAACAGATTACAGTTGGGTAAATTGACCTGTGCTGATGGAATTGCTTGGGCTTCCCTCATAGAAACTTCCTTTCCTTCCCCCCCCCCCACACCCTAACCGTCACATATTGATTGCTCCACTGGCATCCCTGACAACCAGAATTTCCTGAGGTAAGAATTTTCTAAGAAAACAACTGATCTTATCAGTGCCCCAGAACTTTTAGAACCATTTGAACTCTGTGTCCCAAGCAAGCTCCAAGAGTCACTGAGGGGAAGGGGTGGAGAAAAATCTGGATTACATCCCTCATTGGATGGAGTGCTCCATTCGGAACTGCTCTTGGCCTTGGCATCTCTTCCCTATCTTCTTTCCTTGGCTAATTATGGCTAGATTAAGTATTACTGGAGTGAGGTGAGAGAGGGCATTGGCTTCCAGTTTATGAAGCTGAGCTGCTTATGAACACCTGGCCTTTCTAAGTATTTTCTAGGAAAGGGTAGATAAGACCACACCACCTGCCATGGACTCACAGGAAGTCCTAAGTGTATTCAGAGCCTCAATCTCATTTAACTTCCATTTAAGTTCAGACAATCTAAACCATCTTGGCAGACCACAACAATAAACTCTACTAACATCCTGTTAAACATGTATGGCACATGCCTGTAATCCCAGCAGCTCGGGAGGCTGAGGCAGGAGGATCGCAAGTTTGAGTCCAGACTCAGCAATTTAGCAAGGCCCTAAGCCACTTGGTGAAATGCTGTCTCAAAAAGAAAAAAAATTGCTGGGATTGTGGCTCAGTGGTAGAATGCTCGCCTAGCATGCACGAGGCACTGGGTTCAATCCTCAGCACCACATAAATGTAAAATAAAGATATTGTGTCCACCTAAAACTAAAAGATAAGTATTAAAAAAAGAAAAGAATTTAAAAAGGGCTTGGGATGTGACTCACTGGTAAAGTACCCCTAGGTTCAATCCCCAGTACTACCAAAAAAAAAAAAAAAAAAAGATACTGTAATTCTCCATTCAATTCACCCACCTTACTGACTTAGCTGAGTCCAGGAACACACATTCTTACAATGCAGTATGTTCAGTTATTGGTGACTTTGATATTCAAGAATGCTCTGATCTGAACCATTGAGAATAGATAAAATTACCCAACTAAGATCAGGAAACCTGTCTGTGCTTATTTAGGATGAAATTAACAGATATCACCAGGCAAGCAAACATTTTCAAAACTAAAGTATGGAGGTGGTGAGGGAAAGAAGGAAAATGTAGTAGACACGGAGGCTGTTAAATACTAAGGCCATTAAATACTCACCCAACATGGGAAAATGTTTAAATTCCTAAAAGAAAAATGTGAGGATGTTATTTAGAAACCTGGAGGAGGTAGGGGCTGGGGCTGTAGCTCAGTGGTAGAGCACTTGCCTAGCATGTGTGAAGCACTGGGTTCAATCCTCAGCGCCACATAAAAATAAATAAAATAAAATAAAGATCCATCAACAACTAAAAAAAAAAAAAAAAACCCAGATGGGTATTGAAAAAAAAAAAGAAAGAAACCTGGAGGCAAATACCAGGAGAAACATCTAGAAGGGTTGAGAGGGTGAGGAAAGAGTACCGACTCTTTCATTATAGAAGAAACAGTTCTTTGGAACTGTTGGCTTTGTCCATAATATTATTTTAATGAAAATAAAAGTTTAAGGCACAAAGAGTGAAATGTATTACTAAGGCCTTACATGAGGGTATTAGTTCACACTCTCCACAGTGTGTTCAGAAGTAATAAACATGACCTTTCCCTAAAATGAGAGCAAAGAAAGAAATCCCAAAAGGTAACATCTACAGTGCTGCTCTGACTGCAGTGTGCTAACACAGGAACAGCAGAGAAAGAAAAAGTGCAAAGAGATTGGGGAGCAAGGGAAACAGTCCCCCCACTCCAAACAGTGCCTTGGAGAGTGGAAGGAGAAAAGCAGAGAGGATCAATAGGAAAAGTACCAGGGAAGGAGGGAACAGGACGGGTCTCTCTGGGTGTGTCTAGGAGGCTCATTAAAGGATGCCCAGGACTTGCTCAGAATTTCTCATGTGTTCCTCAACAACGATTCCCCAACCCCCTTCTTTCCTGCTGTCCATTAGGTTTTTCTGTTCCTTTTTGTTTTTCAAGTCTTACTCAGGCAAAGAACCTCACAGTTATCAAACAACACTATTTGCTCAAAAGATGGGCCCGACAGCCTCTTGAGTCATAAGCAACCTGATTCAGCAAAAAAAAGAACCCAAACATCTTTGTTCCTTGCATTCCTTCCAAAACAAGCCTCAGCTGGGTGTGGTGGTACATACCTGTAACCCCAGCAACTCAGGCTGCTGAGGCAGGAGGATTGCAAGTTTAAAGCCCACCTCAGCAACTTAGCAAGACCCTGTCTCAAAATAACAAAATGGCTGGGGATGTAGCTCAGTGGAAGAGGGCCCCTGAGTTCAATCCCTCATATATATATATAAAAAAAAGCCTGAGAGATAGAACATTCTCCTAACTATTTTATTATTATTGCTGGGTGATCAAAGAAAAGAACCTGAAATATGCTATAGATTTGTTGCCAACATTTTCAAAATAACCCAGACTTTGCATCTAAAAGCAAATTCCTCTTCCATTGCAAAAGGATTGCCTTGGCCCCTCTAATTTGGCCAGAACACTGGCTGTCATCTGTTCCCCAGATCTGTCCATTCTTGGAATTGAGCCATATACATAAAAAGAATAAAAAAGGATCAATAAGTAATAAAGCTTTAGGAGATGTAAAAGCACCTCATGAGGATAAATATGATACTAATTAACCTTTACTAAACTTTTCTTCAAACCACAATAAAAGTATAATGAGTTCAAGTCCTTATTGCACTCGGGTACCTTCAACAGCAAAGTGTAAGGACGTTCAATTCTCTTACTAATGATGCAACCCCTAATGGCAGTGTGCATGGGGCCTGTCTGATGGAGCTCTGGTCCTTCCTTCCTTTCTTTGCCTTTGGATATTTCACTCGGGGACAATGAGAAAGCTTCACATCTAGCAGACCATCTTCAGTATCCCAGGCAACACGCAAAACAATTTGCTCAGGTATTTTAGAGTATTCTCTGAGTATATTTACAAGGATTCCCCAACCCATTCCTTTCCTAGCACTCTTTGGTTTTTCTCTTCCTTCTCTTTTTTACTCTGATTTTGATTCTTTACAAGTCCATATTCAAGTTGTACAAAAATATATGGGCTAGCTTTATTGTCAATGGTGCCTACCTAATACTGTTTTACACAGCTAGCTCCTGCAGCCTCCGTCACTACAGATCAGATCTAAACTGCTGGGGGCACTCAGATATCACCTCATGCATGAGCCCAGCTAGCTGTGCTCTCCTTATGGATTCTAACCTGCTGTCTACCTCAGCTACACTGGTCTAATACCAAGAGCTCCTCCACTTCCTCCCACTACCCTGTGATTCACAAGACTACCTCTTTAATCCTTTTCTGAAGGCACCTTCTCCCTCCCATTCCACAAGAGCCCATGCCTTAGGGATATCCTCCAGTCCACCTTTTTGCCCCATAATTAATACCATTGCTCTGCCCACCCTCCCAAAATAAATAATCTATACATTGTTAACTTATTTCAGTTAGTCCCTGGAGAAGGCCGAATAATGCCCCCCCACAAAGATGTCCATATCTTAGTCCTTGGAACCCAAGAATCCATGACCTTACGTGGCAAAAGACATTGCAGATAAGTTAAGGCTCTTGAGAGCCCTCTTGCTGTGTCATAACATGGCAGAAGGCATCACAGGAGAGAAAGAGAGACAGGCTAAACTTAGCCTTTATAAGGAACCCATCCACAAAATAGAAAACTATCCTGGATTATGAGAGTGAACTCAACATAACCGAGTAGGCCCTAAAAAGAAGGCACAAAGGTAATAATCAGAGAAGGTAACTTAATGACAGAATCATACAGAGATTGGAAGATGGGGGGTGAGCCAAGACTACGTAGCCTCTAGAAGCTAAAAAATAATAATAATAATAACAACAAGCAA